TACTTCTCTTCTTTTTTCTCCTCCTCCTCTTCCTCCCCCCATCCCTCAGTTTTTTCTTTTTGGAACTACTGTTATTTGAATTGGTAGACTGGTCACTAATTTTCTCAAATTTTCTCTCTCAATCTTTTTTTTAAGAGACAATAGGGTCTTGCTATGGCTGCAGTGTGGTGGCTCTTCACAGGCATGATCATAGCTCACTACAGTCTTGAATTCCTGGCCTCAAGTGATCCTCCTCATCCTTCAGAGTAGCTGGGACTGTAGGCACGCGCCACTGTACCCAGCGTCATATTTTCTCTTCATTTTCATTCCTCTTTGTCTTTTTCTGCCTTTTAGGAGACTTCCTCAATTTATCTCACAGCCTTTCTAGGGAGACTTTTTTTGTATAGCATTCCATTCTTGTCTCATGGGTCCAATATCTTATTTTATCTCTCCTACAAAATTAATTATAGGATTTTTTTTCCCCAAGAGTTCTTCTCTCTGAATGGTCTATATTTGATCCAGAGGCCCTTTTCTTTGTTTGTTTAATTGACTGATTTGATCTATGTTTTTAATGTTAGAGATTCTCCTTAGATGCCTGGGGGATTCCTGGTTGCCTGCTTATTTTTAAAAGTGGAAGACTGAAAACTTAGCTATAAGGGATTTGAGAGAGCAAAAGGAGACGTGTGTCTGCCATCTTTGCCTAGTTATATAGCCTTTCATATCTCTCATTTATTTCATAATATTACATAGTGAAGGAGCCAGGCATGGTGGTGCACGCTTAGAATTCTAGGTAATTGGGAGGTTGAGGCGGGAGGATGGCTTGAGCCCAGAAGCTGGAGACCAGCCTGGGCAAAATAGTCAGACCACGTTTCAAAAAAAGAAAAAAGAAAAGAAAAAACCATGGTCTACACCCTGAGAGATAAGTTAGTAACCATAATAACTACCCTTGAGCGCAAAGAAAAATCACATCTTTTCCTCCTCAGCCCTTAAAGAAAAACATGGAACTATTTTCCTCAAAAAAATTTCTAACTGCAGAAAATAGCAGGAGATTAGTATGTAAATTTGTGACATGTGTAAACCACTCTAAAATTGTGAATAGGTTTAGAAACCTTTTCTCCCTCCTCCCTCCTCCCACAGTCCTGAATCACCAGCCCAGTTGCTCGCTCCTCACTTCCTGCTCTGTGAGTGGCACGCGGTCCTATCTCCATGGTGATGATGCTCCGGGCCACCGGAGACCAGGCTGCATGTCCGACTGGCCTCTCCTCTAGCCACCAGCAGAGGAGCGATCCTCGGAGTCTGACAAACGATGAATAAATGGCATTCTCGGGACCTGTTTGTCTTCTTAGCACACACAGTTAGCACCAACAGGATTTTATATGGTGAATGAAAAAGAAACCCACAAGAACATAGAGGGGATTTATTTTTTAAAAAAGCAGCAAATCAGGCATCAACTTTAAAAAGAGAGACATTGTCTGTTGCTTTATACCTCATTCCACTTTGGTCTCTAATCTCTTCACCTTGGAGTCCACCCACATACGAATGGGACGGTCCGTGATCCTGAGGCATCTGGGCAGCCGGGGACACGAGTTGAAGCCCGAGAGAAGGGAGGACCGTGGAGACCTATGTGTGCAGCAAAACCAATAACGTGCACACAGGACAGGCTTCAGATTAAATCCCAGCCTCCCGGTTCGGTATCCAAGGCTGTCCACTGCTTATCCTTGGGCACCTGCGAGAAGTTTCTAGCAGTTCCCCCTGCCTGGGGCCTGACCTCTTTAATCAGTCTTGCATGTAGCTGCTGGGAAAATGATTCTCAGATACCAAGTGTCTCATGTCCTTCTTTGTCTAAGAACTTACAGTAGATTTCTTTTGTCCCAGTATCTAATTGTTCTCCAGCTGAAACTTCAAGCCATCTTCATGAATGCCTCTTCTCTCCCCACTGCACCTGTGACCCGGGCCCCTGTATTTTTCTGTATATTGTTTCTCAGACTAACGCCCGTCCCTCTCAACAACAGTCAGTAATCACTGGCGTTTAGTGAGCACTTACTGCGGGCTGAGCACTGTGCTAGTGTTGCTCGTGGTTTATTTCACCTCATCCTCCCATCAACAGATAAGGAAACTGAGTCCCAGAGAAGTTGAGTCCCTTGCCCACAGCCATGGAGCTAGTGATGGTGGAACTGGAGCCCGAAGCCAGGCAAGCCCAGCCCGAGGCCACCGGCTCACCTCCTCGCTAATAAATCTCCCCAACCTTGTTGTTCTCAGCCCTGACCCCTGGACTTTTTGTTCTAGGAATTTTTTTTTTTTTTTTTTTGATGGACTGATGATCCTGGCTCTGACTCTGCTGCATTTGTGTATGTGTTGCTGGCTTGTGGTGTGGCACTTCCTTTAAGTCTTCTCTCTCCTGTGTCACCCCACCCTCGCTACAGTCGCTGAGTCGTGCTGCTTCACGCAGGCTAAGTCTGAGTTCCCACCATGCCTCAGCGCAGGGCCTGAGGGCCCGGCTTCCCTCCAGCCAGGACCAGTGTGCGGAGCGGAGGGGCTACCTTCAGTCTGAGGCTGGCAGGGCAGAGCCAGCGGGAGGGGAGGCAGCTGCACGTCCAGGCCCACGTCAGAGCTGGGATGGGGCTGACGCCCCGGGGCACACGCAAGGGCGGATTCCATCCTAGGGGTCGGCATTGGGCACCACCAGCCTTTGCTGCTCAGAGAGTGCCAGAGCAGCAGACACAGGCCCAGCCCTGGGGAACGGGGCTCCCCGGAAGACACAGCCGGCCAGGGGGTCCTCAGTGTAGCAACAGAGCATCGCAGGGAGCGAGTGCAGCAGGCAGGGGTGGGCGGGCCAGGCTGTCTTACCAGCAGAGCTTTGGGGAGAGGGTGTCTGCTCTTCAGATGAAGTACCGGGCACCACACCCTTATGCAGACAGCTATGGAAGGCTAACGCCAGCCCCTCTAGTTGCTGGCTGAGGGTTCAAGTTGGGGCTGGACAGCCTGCCAGTGACATGCTCTCTGGCATCGTCTAGGGCCAGGCTCAGCAGATGATAAAGGCTGTGCAGCCTGTCATCTCCCTCCCAGCTTTGCCCACCTGTTCTCGCCTGGCCGCCCCACCTCCGTGTTCCGTCTTTTCAGACATCCTGCTCACCACCTGTAGACTGTTCTTTCCAGAAAGCCATGTCATCTCGTCATTCCTCTGTACAGGAACCTAAAATCACTTTCAAGGTCTCTGTGACCAAATCCAAACTTCTTATCCTAGAATTCCAGGCCCTCCAAAATCTGACCCCTGGTCTCCGAAGCCACCTCATGGCTTGCTGTGGAGCCCAGGTGTCCTTCTCTCACTGAAACTTCTCATCATTCCCCTAGACGCATGCCAGTCACTTTTGCCTCTCTGATCCTGAATGGAGCAGCAAAAGGAGCATGGGCTTTGCTTGCTGTGTGTCCTTGGGCAAGTCACTCAACATCTCTGTGCTTCTAGTTGCTTGCCTATAAAATACTTTAAAGGATGTTGTGAGAATTGGAGTGTTTGTATACAGAGTGCCAACTACACAGTAGGAGCTCACAAAATGGTACCCACTATACTATGTTCTTGGTGTCCCCTGACTTCGATGGCTCCACCTTCTTTCTGACTAGCAGGGCTTCCATCTCGAGAGGCACTGTGCCTGCAGCCTTCCCTGCGCACCTTGGCTAGGGGGTAAGGGCAGGGCAAGCAGCATTTGCCTATCACTGGCTGGGCACCAGACCCTGTGGGGGCGTGCGGAACACTGATGACAGCAGCTGATCCTTCCAGATCCGTCCCAAGCACGTCACGTGCATTAATTCTCATAAGCTTCCTTGGTAACTCACTTCTGTGGATTAAGATTCCTAAATGGCTTTCTGCTCTATGCAACCGAGTTGGATTGGTCTCCCTGGTCCTGTCTCAACTTTCCCATCCAGTGGCCTGCAAGTGGTTAACCAGAAGACTTTATCAAGTATCAAGAAGTGAAACCCCTGTAGGATAAAATGCCAAGGCCGTAGGATATCTTTCAAGTTGATCCTGTTAGAAAATGTTTTGAAACAGGACCCACTTTTCCCAGCCCTGCCACCCCTCTGCACTTTCTGTTGAGCCCTGGGCTTTCGTTAGAGCTGCGTGCCCGGAGCACCCTCTCCCCCGGCCTGCCTGGCAGATTCACGCCCTGCTCCTCTTGGGGCCTTCTCTGACTAAGCCTTGTGTGTTTGGGTCAAGGTCACTGCCCTCTCCCTCGGTCCCCAAGGAGCCTTGCCCACCCACTTACTGCACCCTTCTGCAGATACCTGCATCCTTGGCAGGCCCATCTCCTGGGCTGACAGTGCCTGAGGGCAGGGGCTGTGGCCTGCTCTTTTTTTGTGTTTCATTACTTGGCACAGAGCCCTGCACGTGGCAGGCCTTGGCGTTTGGGGATGAAGGGAGAGGGAAGGGGTAGGGTGCAGTGAGCATCGGGCAGAGGGAATGGTAATGATATTTCCAGCTTCCTCCCAGGGCAGGGCAGCCACAGGGCCCCGTCCGGCTCAGAAGGAGAGGCTCTAGGTACCCGGGAGGTGCCAATCTTTGGGATCCACCAACTTTTTTAGAGGAAATCGCTAAATGTGCTTGGTAATCTTTTTGACGTTTTCCCTGTTCAAGAGCTTGTGATTTCAGATTAATCATATCCACATACGTTCAGACTGTCGGCTTGGAAGGAAAAATTTAAATTTTATTACTGCATGATTTCATCCAAAGCTATCTCACCAATACTAAAAAAGGATGTCTCCAACATGGCGCAAATCATGACAAAATTTTTTACCTCTGGGACCGAGCTCGTGGAGGTGTGGGGGCGGGGGGCCGGGGTGCCACCGGCAGGACGTGTGGGCACAGTCACAGCACGTTCAGTAGCCTAGAGAGACCTGCGAGTGCCGCCATCGCGGCTGTCTCCTCCTCAGCAAAACCTCCGATTTCCTCTCCGCTTCTAGGTCTGTCCACAGCCTTTATTCCCGGAAATGGCTGCTCCACCCACTAACTCCTGTCTTCCCCTTGGCAGGTACCATGACCAGCAGGACGTAACTAGTAACTTTCTGGGTGCCATGTGGCTCATCTCCATCACATTCCTTTCCATTGGTTATGGGGACATGGTGCCCCACACATACTGTGGCAAAGGTGTCTGTCTCCTCACTGGCATCATGGTGAGTACCCGCGTCTGCCCGTCCCCCTACCCTCACAGTGTGGCAGCGAGCAGAGCCCTTCCGTGCAGCACAGAGGGGACTCCCTAGCAGGCACGGGGGCAGCAGGCCTGCATGTGCGTCACAGGCCTGTAGTAGTAGTATGTAGTTCACGGGCCTGTATGTGCGTCCCCCTGCTCATAAAGAGACAGGTGTGACATCTGCCATGCTTTCTCACTTTTCAGCTTACTTTTCTAAGGCAGGACTAAGGTCCTGGTTCCTGACAGTTAACGGTCTGTTCACAGCCCCCCCCCACCATGGGCTGGGTGAAGCTGGTTGCTGGTCTGACCCTCCGTCCCCCTTCCTCCCCCCGCCCCACCAGCCACCCAGCTTGCTCACTTGCAGCAAGCATCAGGGCTGTGGTTTGTTGTCCCCTTCCTGTCCCCTGGGTCCCGCAGACTTGGCACCATTTCTCATGAAGTTTAGCTGGAGCTTGTGGAGACAGGCTGGGGAAACGGCATCGCTCTGGCCACACAGGGCCTGTGTCCTGGCCTGGCCTGGCTGCGACTCTGGGTCCTGGTCTGGCTACGTGGCCCGAGGCCAGCTCTTGCCTGTGCTAGGCTTCAGCTCCCACCTCTGCCTGCCGAGGTCTGGGCCCGAGTGCCGAGTCCTTTCCACCGACACGTGCCCGCAGAGGCGCACGCCGCTGCCGTCCTGTGGCCATGCAGCGTGGTGTGTGGGAGTGATGTCGGGTTGGGGTCAGATGTGGGGGCTGACTTTCCGCTCGCTGTGGGCCCTGGGCCAGGCACTCAGCGGCTCGGACCTCAGCATTCTCCAGTACAAAGTGGAGACCCAGGGCCCACCCTGCCCCCCCCCACTGACTTGTGCAAGGACCAAATGTGATGATTTATGTTACGGTGCTTTAGAAACAATGAGCAGCACGCACATGGTCTGTTGGTGGCATCCTCAGTGTCCCCAGCCTCGACAGCTCCTCACTTTCGAGTTAGTGAGGTGTTCCCTTGGCCTCGCTCCTCTTTGGGCTCAGGACAGGCAGCTGCTGCTCTTTGGCCTTTGTCTTAGAATCCGAGAGCAGTGTCAGAGCAGGAGGAGGAAACTGAGGCTAAAAGAGGAAAGCACACATAAGCCTGAGTGGGTTGGGGGTGGCGATGGGGTGAGGGGGTGGCAGGATGTCTGTGTGTGGCTGGAGTTCTCCATGGTTGGAAGCTGCAGCCCCCCCCTCAGGGCACCCCCCTGCCCTCTGGCATGCTCTGTGACAGGCATTCCTTGCTGTGCTCCTTCAGATCCCTCATCACCCCAGTGCTCCCAGGGGAGATGGAGACCCTCTTTCTGAAAGAGAAATGACTCCTTTCTGTGTGGGAAAGGAGGGCTGCAGCTCTTCCTGCAGGGCCCGAGTGACTCCTCACCGGGCTGTGGGCTGCCCCACTCCCCACCGCTCTCAGCCTCCTGGGGCCGATCTTGTTGGACAGGACAACACGACTGGGGCCACTCGGAGCAGAGGAGGCCCTGGGGTCAGAGGCCTGGGGCAGGGGCCCAGTGAGTAGGGGGAGACCAGGCTCCCCCCTCTTTTCTGACCCACACCCTGGGCAGGCCCCCAGTAGCAGGCAGGCCCTACGACAGCAGTCAGGGACAGAGGCTCAGCCCCAGGGGTGGGCTGAACCACGGGCAAGTGCAGGGCTTTAGAACAAACACCTCCCATCGGTTAGTAGGAGTCTGACTGGCGCAGCGCCAACTGTCACGGGGAAACCAGGGAAAGATTCTTCCTACCAGAAAGGAGTGAAATGCCACCTGAAGGCCAAAGCTTTCCTTCTCAGTGCCGCTCCTGGGGCGTGGGCTTTGTTGCCTCAGAACCAGCTCTCAGCCAGGGCCGCACAGAGCCGGGCTGCCAATAGGTGGATGGGCCCTGCTGGTATTTTTAAATACCAGCCATTCTCTCTCCCAGCGTGCAGCCGTGCCCCATCCAAGAAGCGGCTCTTTGGGGACTGGTTTCCTGGTTCCTTGACTCCGCGTCTCCTGGCCTCTGCTCTGACAAAGCTGAGTGGAACGGGCAGGACCCCCACCCCACCCCTGCTCCTCCCTGGGGTGTCGGCTCTGCTAGCTGCTTGGTCTTCCAGCACCTTCTTCTTTTGCTGCCTGGGTCTACAGCATTCCTTGGAAGGGAGTGTTTTGTTCCTTATGGATTGAGGTATGATCAAAGTGGAAAGAACAAACAGTGGAGGAGGAACCGATAACCATCTTCCATATTAACAATATAGCCCGTGCCTTTCACCTTCTCTTTTTGCACAAAACTCTGCTGCATAAATATATACCTTTCTATGGGCAGGACCAGGGAGGTTTCTTCTGTCCACTGGCAGTGTTTTTACCCAAATTAAAGTCAGTTGCCTCACTCTGGAGTCAGCCACGGTGAGGAACCCTGGTGGCATTTTTCTAACAAATGTGACTTTTCTGGCTGAGTCACTCCTTTCAAGGGTTTCGCATTGCTGAGGCTGCTCTCCCCCTCCCAGCCTCCCAACACTATGTATAGCTCCCGATTATTATCACAAGCGCCTTTACTAAAGGTAGGGCTTCCTGTTTGGTTGCCATGGACACCATGAAGGCCAAGGCAAGGGCTGCTTGGGAAGGGAAAGGAAGGGTTTGTGTGTGCGGCCTGTAAATAGTCTTAATCATTGTTTTCTCTTGGCAATCCCAGTAACGGTGCAATTATCAACCATTAAGCAGGGTATATAATTGTCTGAGCAACTTGACATTGCTGGCACAGACCTGGTGTGTTTGAGAGGTTTCACCCACAAAAGCAGATCTACCAAAGTCCAGCATCTTTCTATAAGGAATGTTCATGATAACAGTTACCATGCAGCAGAGAAAAAGCTGTCAGTATTTGGCATCCAGAATTGGAAATGACAGTGGGACTTAGAGACGTGCCACTGCTGGCCTTTTGGTGCTGCAGGCGTGAGGGAGACCCTTGGGGCCCCCAAGTCTGGTTGGTGGTAACTCTGTTTCATAGTAGCCCCTTGCTGAAGCCGGACTCAGACTGTGCACCCCTCGCGAGTTAGGGACAAGTAGGAGAAAGCTTCCCGGATGTCTGCTGGGACGCTGAGCTTTCCCCAGTGGCCTCATGAGTGATGCCTCTGAACTGCAAAAGGAAAGTGATGATGAAGTAAGAGGTAGCGCAAACTGAGTCATTTGGGAGCAGGCAAAAGAGGGCTCAGCAAGACATCTGCTTAATGTCAGTTTTAGAAGATGAGCTTCTCCCGAAACACCTTGGTTTCAAACCAATTGATGTTATTTTAGTTGTTACATGGAATCTGTTGCAGAAACAGAATCCAACTGTAAATCCTCCAGGCTTCCCTCCTCCATTTGTCACTTTCATTTATGTTTTATTTTATTTTATGCTTCTTTAGTTAAGAACACCTCATACTTTTCCCCTTGGGATACTTGTTTTTCCAGCTTCTAAGGTTTTCCAGCTGGAAAATGTTTCTTGGAAACAAGAAGTGGGAGGACTGGTGTGGAGGAGTCTGGGTCCACATTTGGGTCCACGTCTATAGCTGAGTTGGGCACGTTCACCCCACCCCAGCCACTCTCTCCCCACGCACTCTGTGCTCCCCACTCAGCGTGCACCTTGGAAAGTAGGACCTCATCAGAGGTGCCCCCCTCCCCTCCCCCCATGGACAGATAGAATGAATTGGGCACAGCAGACCCTGGGACTCCAGTTGGTGTCAACTGTGATTCAGGACTTGGCACCTCTGAAGGCAAAAGGCTGAGTCACGAGTTTGCCCCCTAGCCTGACCCCATGGAAGCCACACCAGCAGCTGCTCACCCTTTCCTGTCCCACTCCGTCCTCTCCTCACACCCCCTCACCTTCCAGCCATTTCTAGGATTCCAGCTAGGACAGCATGAACTTCCACACGCCACAGTTAGCCAGGCCCTTGGCGACTTGTCTCTCACCCAATCTGCACCCCTGCCCACCTCAAAGGCACTCTCAGGCCGCTGCCGTGGCCCTGCCAGACTGATAGGCTCATCTGCAGAAAAAGGCCCATCCTCCCAGAAGGGACTCGGGGGTTACAGATGAACACAGCAGGGCGGGGGGGATCCCACGGTGCTCCCTTCATTTCTTCTAAAGGCCGAGATTGCCAATAACTTCTCACTCAAGTCTTGGGCTCCTTATTCTTCCCTCCTCTCCCTCTCAATCCCATCTGTCCATCCTTTGTCTTATTCCTTGCTCCTCCTTTATCTCTGTCCCTCTCCTGACCTTTGCTGTTTAGGATGCAGCACAACTTGTTCTCAGTCTCATTCTCTGCTCCAGCTCTAGCTCCCCTGCACCGTCCTCTCTTCTCTCCTCTTCTTTTGTCTTCTCTTTCCTCTTCCTTCCCACCCCTGCCTCTCTCTCTCTCTCTCTCTCTCTCACACACACACACACACACCCTGCAGAGGACCAGCAGACTGGATTTAAGCATGCTGCTCTCCACTCTCTGAAGGTTGCAGATGTCTGACCCATCTTTTCCATTGCCTCTTTTTTTTTTTTTTGAGACAGAGTCTCGCTTTGTTGCCCAGGCTAGAATGAGTGCCATGGCATCAGCCTAGCTCACAGCAACCTCAAACTCCCGGGCTCAAGCGATCCTTCTGCCTCAGCCTCCCAAGTGGCTGGGACTACAGGCATGCGCCACCATGCCCGGCTAATTTTTTCTATATATATTAGTTGGCCAATCAATTTCTTTCTATTTATAGTAGAGACGGGGTCTCACTCTTGCTCAGGCTGGTTTTGAACTCCTGACCTCGAGCAATCCGCCCGCCTCGGCCTCCCAGAGAGCTAGGATTACAGGCGTGAGCCACCGCGCCAGGCCTCCATTGCCTCTTAATGGAAATGACCAGGTTAAGCTTCATTATTGGTGACTTCCGTAATTACATCCAGACAATGGATTATCTGAAAGAAAAATAGAGTATCTATTCAAGCTGGAATTAGGGCTTAAGAATGCAGTATCCTCCAGAGAAACATCCACCAGGCCTTGACATCTTTAAGTTGAAAGAAACTGAGAAATATCATCTGGGCCACCTTCTTGCCTCCACGCAGAAATTTATCTTAATCATAGAAGACAGATGGTTCCTTAGATAAAGCACTCCAACTTCTAATTAAAAGCCCCCTGCATCCAACCAGCTAGACTGCGGGCCATGGCAAGAACTGTGGAGCACTCCTTCCAGACCCCAGAAATTTGGGGTGGTGGCTGATTGGTTGTTTTGATTAAATTCCCAAAGTGGCACAGTGCAGGGAGACTCCCTCTTTAGGTTTATTGTCCCCCCAGCTCTCAGGGATGATTTAAGTAGTTTTGCCTGGACCCAGGGAGACAAGGGAGAATGGAGCCTGGGGAGAACCCTCTCCATCTGATGTTCCATTTTTAACACGATGATATATCCCTCTTTTTGGGCTTTCAGCCCAAAGTACTTTTGGAACTCCACATAAAGGCGAGGGATGGTGCGCGGTCTGGCCGAGGGGAGAGGGAGCACACATCTTCCCTCTAGGACAGCTTCTTTTAAGCTATTTTTTGCTTTTGGAGGCCTGGCTACATTGATTACAGCTACAAACCAGGATGTCCAACTGCCCAGATCCTTTGAAAATTGGGCACAGAGTCTCCTGCAAGTCACAGAAGCTGAAAAAACACAGCCGTCCCCGAACAAAAGAGGAAAATGAGGTCAGAAAAGGAAAGTTCACACGGGCTCAGTTCTTTCCACTTTGTTGTGCTAGAGACGGGAGGCCGACCACTGTACCAGCAAACACTAGATTGTTTTAATGGGAACCCTTGTGAGAAACTGGGAGGAAGCATTGCCAACTTCAGCCAGGCCGAAACCTCACCCAGGCTCGTGCTTGTCAGCCTGTGGGAGGAGAGATCAGGATGGTGAAGGAGAGAAGAGGGAACTGGTTATCCACATGTGACCCTCCTCTCTCGGTTATAGATTATATACCTTTGAAAAACGTTCTTCTCCTCTTCTCACACATTCTGTAAGACCCGATGAGCCACAAACGTTACTGATGGATTCCTTCGATCCCGGACCTCAGATTGCTAAACCGGCTCTGTGGCAGCTGGAACTACTGTTTGGCATCTAGCTCTGATTGTTGGCTGTCATCAGTCCAGCACCTCTTGCCGTGAGCGGTCAGGGCAGGGCCGGCCCAGCATGCAGGAAGAGGGTGATGTCCCTGACGAGTGTCTAGTCTCAGCAAGGACAGGGCCGGCTGCCACGGCCTGCAGAAGACCCAGAGGAGTGATGACTCTCTCCCTTCCCCAGTGCTCACAGGCCAACAGCACATGAGGAGGATTTATTTCACAGAAATCCGTTGCGAGAATGTTGGAATGTGCCCCTCTCCCTTCCCTGCTCATTTCCCAGGCAGTCAAGCACGTGCCCAAAGGATTAGGGGAGAGAAAGTGAGTCCTGCCCTTCCAGCAAAACCTGCCTCTTCACTCACCCTACCCTCTGCTCCCCTGGCACAGACCCGCGCAGACTAGGAATGCTATTCTGGAAAATCCTTGAGCGTCTTCTGCGGGTTCACTTAAAATCTTGGTTTTAGGCAGACGTGTTGTCTTTAAAATCTCTGCCGGGCGGTAAATTCCCGAGCCTCCTGGCGAAAGCAAGAGCGAACTGCTTCCTTGTGCTGAGTCATAGCCTACCGCCAGGTAGGAAGCCCTGCTGTGGAGGGCACACGCTCATGCCAGCCAGGGCTGCCTCTGGGGAGCAATCTTTGGGGAGAAGGTACGGCCCCCTCGTTAGATTATTTTCAGGAAAACTCTGAACCACGGCAGGGGTTCTGTCCATACTCCCATTGGTGCATAGTCTTCCTTCCTCTGGGCCCGCTGGTCTGGAGCTGGCCGCGGGGTCAGGACATGCGGGAGGGAGACAGGGCCTGTGTGCTGGACCCTGTCTTCCGCCGCGCTGCACAGCCTGGCAAGGGACCTGGTAATGACCTGTGGGTTGAATTCCCCAAAGTGTCAGCTGTGTCGAGCACCCTGCTCCACTGAGAGCCGCCTAGCTCTACGAAGACTTAGTCTCCCAGGGGCCAGCTATGGGGCACAATCCAGGAGGCATGGCAGATCCCTTCATGGTCGGGACATCAGCGTCCTGACAGGTTTTGACGGGGTTTATGGCTCAGTCTTGACCGGCCAGAGAGCTCGAGTCCCCATTCCACTCCCAAGAAACCCTACGGTGGGCACAGGGGCACACTGAGTCTCTCACGTTGCCACTTGATGATGTGTTCTTTCCCCCTCGTCCTCCTGACATCCCCCGACAGGGCGCAGGCTGCACTGCCCTCGTGGTGGCCGTGGTGGCCCGAAAGCTGGAACTCACCAAAGCGGAGAAGCACGTTCACAACTTCATGATGGACACTCAGCTCACCAAACGGGTAAGATGTCACACCTCCACATCTCAACGGGGGCCTGAAGACCAAGGTGGAAGCCAATCAGAAAGAAAACAGTCCCGTGGTTTGGGTTAGGGCCAAACTTTTAAACAGAGTGTCGGGGGAGCCCCAGACATAGGCGAACGGCCTGCACAGAACGCACACAGCGTCTTAGCACATCAGGCTCCTATTAAATCCCTGTGCATGGTTCAGGCAACCAAATAATTTTCCTGATAATTAAATCAATAGCATACAATGGTATAACCCGCCCACTTGCCTAATGGTACCAAATAAATTACCCAGCATGAGGCAATGTTTTTGTTTTTGCTCAAATCTTTTCATGATTCTCATTAGGAAGGGCAGCAGAGAGTCTTAGAACTATATTGGAAATGTATCTAAATCTAATCCTATAAAAAAATCATTTGAAACAATCATTCCAGTAGAGCCCACATTCCTAAATTATGTTGTTCATCAAAACGTCATCATCCAATTTTCCCCTTTTGAGTTTTCTGGGTAATGTTTCTCACTTGTACCCTTATGACAGTGGTTAAGGAGGATGAAAAGCTGAAAATATGCAGGGATGGGGAGATCATTGAGCTGCTAAAAGTCTGACACCCCACTGAATTGTTAGAGGAGAAAAGGCCCATTTAGAAGAGACAGAAAACGAGCCTTGCAGGATAGCAGCAGGCCAAATGAGCAAGGCAGGAGCTGTTTATTTAATGACAGCTTTTATGGAAAATTCTTTAGAACTACAGCCTGAAGGAAGGTCAGTAGTCTGATATCCTGCAAGACTCTCCTCTTTCTGAGATGAGACAGAACCAGAGCCTGGGGCTGGGGGCTCAGCCTCCTTGGTAAGTCATTTGCATTTAGGACTAAAGTGGGTTAAGGGATCCATGAGCAACCACATTTTGATTTGGGTTTTTGAAAGCTAGAGAAAATATTCAGTGATTAATGTTGCAAGCAGTGAAAATGTGTTAGAAATAGAGACAAAAGCAGGAAGGGAGAACAAAAAGGGAGAGAGAGAGAATGACAGAGAGCGGCGGGCGAGCTCCTAGGGAAGGCAGTGGGAGAATGTGCAGTTGCCAGGGCTCTCGGGTTTCTCGCAGAATTATTTATGGTGTTTGATTGTTTGGTCTTTGATTACATTTATTGGATTCTTTAAAGAGCCTCCACAGATGTTAAAAGGAACATGCACAGGCAAATATCCTTATGTTGTTGACATACAAATGGTTGTACTTGGTACATCGTGGCCCTGAGCTATCAGCTGTACCCCCAAAAACCATGATTTGTAGCATCAAGATGACAGTGATTAAAGGCTGTCACCATGGTCAGGCTTGCCGGGTTTCACAGGGAACCCGGCAACTGGGCCACTCTCCTTCAGCCTCCTTTAATGCTCGTGCAAAAATCATGCTGGTATTGAGGAAATTGCTAAAGTTGTTGGAACACCTAAATACAAATACACTTGCATCTATTACCTCGAAGCAATTTAGTGATGTTTGGCTGAATGGAAACTACATGCAGGAGTGAGGGGAGAGAGAATTTTTTTGCCTCCAAAACCTTCTCAGAAGCTGTTTACCAAGAGCAGAGACATTGCCAGTCTCTTATTTATTGTCGTTTGCTTGTTTAAACCAAGTGTGTTCTTTGTATTTCATGTTATTCCTTTGTCCTCTCCATTTTACACCCAGTAAATCAGATGCTCGAGGAACAGAAAGCTGAGGAAAAGCCAGCTCCCTCATATGCCAGGAAAATAAACAATTTCTCTGCAATATAATTGTAGAAGAAGATGAGGTTGTGCTTGCTAATTTTAATCTTTCAAAAATGATTCTCTAAAATCCTCCTCAAGTCCACTCACTTTTTGAAAAGTAGGACTGAAAATCAAATCAACAAATATTTATTGCTTACCCATGAATGCAAGTTACCTTTTTAATCGAGTAACATTTTACTTTTCTGAGAACACTTAAATCCACTGAAATGTCCTTTTACTGTCTAATATCTTTTCTCAGAGACATAAACAACAAAAAAAGGATGGTTTTTATAGAGAGACAATTTTCAAAGCTGGCAGGACTGGGACTTCCACAGGTTCTTCTACATAACCTTCATAGAAATGAAACTGGATACATCCTTAGCCTGCTCTGGTTTGAGCTCACTTTGACCTGCTCGCCAAGAAGCCCACCTTTATTTTCTGGGGATGCCGAGTCTGTCTTCCGTCCTCTTTAGATAGCCCATCATGTCCAGCTGGAGTGGCTGATGGGTCAACGAGATGCTAATCTCAGTGTATTCATAAGATCTCAGTGAGTTCTTGGGGAAAGATTATGCCCATTGTGGTTTAATTGCAAACCTCTTCAGAGTGGACAATAGCAGATTGAACGGCTGAGAGCAATCTCTTACCAGTGTGTGCAACCTTGATTCTTCAAACACCCAAGCAAAAAGGAAAAAGGAATTGTAGCCTATTAGAGCCTAAAAATACTCAAAGTGTTCTAGTGTTTATTCATCCTACCTGTGCTGCCATAAAGGCTGTAGCCCAGCCTTTGTCATTAGAGCCAGCACTATTTCTGTCCATTTGTGCAGAGGGAAGAAGAGGGTCTGGGTGAGAACTCAGTCTCTGGTCTTCCTGAACCCCATGGTTTGTCATCTTTCACTTGTATAACTTATCAACCCTGGTGGCAACGTCACTTCTGGGTTTAATGTGATCAGATCTTCCCACAGTGACTTCGCAGTGTCACTGCCATTGTGATTCTATAATTCTTGCTTACTGCTAGCCTCTGGGCTACTAGATAATATATGAGTAAATGACGGACAGAGAGACTGTAAAGAAGATACCAGAGCCCCGTCTCTCTTGCACCCCAGTGCCCCATGGCCCCATCTTTCTGTCTTATGTAACTAAACATGTCCACCACAGAGGTCACTCCCTGGGTGCCACACCCTGTGCTCTGGGGACACCAAGACGAGTAAGAGGTGGTCTTTGCCCTCACACTTAACCTCTGGTGGCTGACTGCCCTGAGAGAGCACTCCCCTTTATAAAAGGCAGGGCGGGCTGCCATGGACGCGCGTGGCTTAAGATGTGCCGCGGACAGGAGATTCTGTTTGCCGCACGTGTTCTCCACGTCAGCCCACGGCGAGCAAAACCTTCAGACAGCACGACGGGGCTGAGCACCTGGCTCAGGACCGTCTCTCCTCCTTGCTGCAGGGGTTTCTTGCCACAAATCCCTCATCTAAGTACACTTCCCCACGAAATCAACGAGTATGACCAAAACCAAACCGATAACTTCCCTAAACTAGTTCTTTCTCCTAACTTCCCTGGTCTGCTGATGACATCACTGTTCTTCCAGTCACCAGGCCTGAATACATGGCAACATTTCTGACTCCCCTATGCCCTGGACCACTGGGGCTGAGCAGTTTCTGAGCCTGATGCGATCTTGCTGTGGCTACTCAAGCACGCCGGCCTCCCAGGGCCTCTGCCCTGCCATACTTAAAGCCACACTATCTTCTCCGTCTTGTCCCATCAAAATAGCTAGCTGCCTGCTCTCCTCACCTGGGCCTCCCTCACCCCGGTCTTTCTGCACTTTGCTTCCCCATGTGGCCTTAGTCTCTAACACTTAGCTCTGAACTTAGCTCTAAAGGGGGGTTCATCACACCCCCCTTTAAGTAGCGCCCCCTGCAGTATCCCCTCCGTGATGCCAAAGAAAACCTTCCTTTAATTATGAGCATATGTCAAAGTTTTATCATACTCCCGCTAGTAGAAAAAAAAATGTTTTCAGCAGGTTAATTCAAAGATTACTCTCAGGAGGGGGATTTTATAGGAAAAAATGAAGTCATTGTTATGCCAGACAGAGAAAGTCTGGCTAAAGGACATGAGACTGCTGACCAGCAGCTGGCCCCCTTCTCCCACCCTGTGTGTGACGGACACCTTCAGTCTCAGGTCTGAAGACAGGGCTGGCCCGCAGCTTCTCTGATGGCGACGTTAGTCATCTAGTCTAGATTCAACCTGTGTAACTCCTTGAAGGTACAGTCATGAGCCGCACAACGATGGACCACATATGCCACGGTGGTCTCCTGAGACTGTAATGGAGCTGAAAATTCCTATTGCCTAATGATTTGTGTTGCCTACAATATTCAGTACAGTAATATGCTGTGCAGATTTGTAGCCTGGGAGCAATAGGCTGTACCTTATAGCCTCAGAGTAGGCTACCCCATCTAGGTTTGTGTAAGTCTATGACGTCTGCGTGATGGCAAAGTCACCTCATGACACATTTCTCAGAACATATCCCCATTCTTTTTTTTTTTTTTTTTTTTACAGAGTCTCACTTTGTTGCCCAGGCTAGAGTGAGTGCCGTGGCGTCAGCCTAGCTCACAGCAACCTCAATCTCCGGGGCTCAGCAATCCTACTGCCTCAGCCTCCCGAGTAGCTGGGACTACAGGCATGCGCCACCATGCCCGGCTAATTTTTTGTATATATATTTTTAGTCGGTCAATTAATTTATTTCTATTTTTGGTAGAGACGGGGTCTCGCTCAGGCTGGTTTCGAACTCCTGATCTTGAGCAATCCGCCCGCCTCAGCCTCCCAAAGTGCTAGGATTACAGGCGTGAGCCACCACGCCCGGCCATATCCCCATTCTTAAGCAACACATAACTGTATATTTAAGTCACACCTACACGCTGGGCCTGATCTGGCTTCTTCCCTTCCCCTTCTCCAACGTCTAGGCGTAACACTTTTCCCTGGGAAGGGTTCCTGGCAGGGTAATGGGCATACTAATGATTTCTTCCTGGGGGGGAGGTCCACTAATAGGGTTCCTGGAATTACTTTCCCAGGGCTCCTGTGGCTGCTGGAGGCATGGGGTGCCCAGGAAGGATGCTCCTTTCTCCACCTTGTACCCCTCCCTCCCCCAGTGTTCCTCCTGCAACCGACAGCCCCTCCGTAATACCAAGTGGCAGGTCCCCTTGTCAGGGATGTGGCCAGAGAAAGCTGCTGACATAGGATGCTATGGCCAAGGGCTCGGGGAACAGATTTATGTGTTCTGCTGTATGTTTTCTTTTGTTGGGAGTTGGGGAGATGAAAGGGAAAGCAGCTGATGTTTGGGGGGGGGTCGGCGAGGGAAGAACATTAATAAAGATATCATGAATTGAGGTACGCTGCTGCCAGGCTCCATGCTAAGTGTTATAAGTGTATTCTCATTTAATCAACACAGTAATCCCATTTCACAGGTCAGGAGTACTTGCATCACTCTCGAGCCCTGTACCCTGCTTTTTTTTTTTTTTTAAGCTCTTATTACCTGATACTATATTACAAACTGCTTACTGTCTCCTGCACAAGATGATAGATTCCATGAAGGCAGGAATGTTACTGGTTTTTCATCTCAGTGTTGTCACTTCCTAGAACAGCGTCCCATGGTAGGGCCTCATTAAATGTTTCTTGAATGGATGAATAAGGAAAGTGAGTGTCAGAGGGTTCAGTGATGGGTCCCAGGTCCACCTCATAATTCCATCTACTTGTCAGGTTTTTCTGAGGGTTAATGAAACAATGCAGACGTAAGTGTTTAACACAGCGCCTGGCACATAGTAAGCGCTCTGTAATTGTTACCTGTCACTATTATTTGCAGGATCTTGGTTGGACCACTTTCTTTCCCAGGCCTGTTAGTCCCAGAACCCTTCCTAAAGTACGTAGGTCACAGAGCCCATTCTCTGGCTCCAATCAGAGTGAAAGGAATTTTGGTTTTGGTAGAGTTTATGGACCCACAGAAAACAATCAGCCCATATGCTTTTGGGATTTGAAGGCAGAACAGCAGGCCTTCCATGCACAAAGGGTCCTCCCGTAACCATCCCCAAACCCATCGCATCATAGTGAGCCTTGCACAATACTTCCCAGTTTGCTGCTCCCATCTCAAGCCCTTCCCCCTTTACCCCTGCACCCTGGGAGCATCTTTTGGCCCTGGTGACCCTGCCCACCAGGAAAGCTCAGAGGGAAGCCAAGCCCCCATCAGGGAAGGGTGCATGGAGCCCTTTGGAGGTTCAGCAAATCCAAGGAGAGGCACACGACCTTCACCTGCTCCCCATCCCAACAATGCTCAAAGCAATCAGCCAGGTGAATTCGAGGCAAACCCTGGCCATGATAGCATTTACTGTCTACCTGGGAAAGCACAATGCAGTTAAAAGCCTATTTGTTTTTCTCTTGCAGATATTGATCTACTTAGCTTTGTGCCAGGCTGTTTGCTGGCAATTAATTTCAGAGTCAGCACAAGAGCTTGCAGTTAACATCACTCTCCCGAATGCGCAGGGGCCTCCCGTTCAAACCCATAAAGATGATGTGACTGCCTCTCTCGGCTTCGCGGGCTGTGCTGTGCATTCAGTATCTTACATTTGGGCTGAAGATAAGTGCAGGACGTGGACTCCGTGTTCTGTCACATTGCTAAGTGAGGGCCATGATGATTTAAAAAACAAAAGTCTAATGTCCTTTCCAATCCCTTGATCCTGGAAAACAGGAAATGATTTTGTGTAAAGATGAAATCTACTCAGGTCTTTCCTTTGGACCACATGAAAACCTTATGCTTTTCCTGGACCTGGCTCTTGTTTTGACTTTGCCATTAGCTAGCTGTGTGATTCTGGCATGCACATCCCATTTCTAAAGCGATTTCCTCAGACTTGAAATGGGAGGTTTGAGCCGGATGATAATAATTAATACGTGCAAGGTGCTTTACATTTTACATAGCACTCAGACCCACATTGACTCAGTTTGCCAATTCTGGTCTTGGTCTGTGTCTCAGTTTGTTCATCTGTAAAATATGGATACTATTAGTACCTGCCCAAGAAGGTTGTTGTAAGGATTAATCGAGGATTGATTAATTAATTAATTGAGGAATAATTAAGGATTATTGATTAATACCTGTGAACTGCTCAGACCTATGCCTGGCACCTGCTAAATGTTAGCGGTTGCCCTCAGCACCATCCACATCATCTTCACTGGTCCATTTGGGCCTCTTAGCAACCCTTAAGATAAGGGTTCATTTTTCCCATTTTATAGATAATTAAGCATTTGCTCCTAAACTGCTTAATAATCAGCAGAACAGGGATTCACCTGAAGGCTTTGCAATTTCTTTGAGGCTTTCCTTGGAGGCTAAGTGCCTGGGGAAACTAAAGAAATTGTGTGTCAAATTGTCCCCTTTCCCTACCAAAGGGCGATAGTAATATGTGCTCTGCAGAGAGAAAGGCTTCCCTCTTCGGCCAGGAGGCCACTGTCCACTCCAAGCCCTGAGCAGAAGCCCAGAACCACTCTCTCCTCTGCCTCCCCCCTCCTCTCCTGGACACCCACCATCTCCAGCTTCTGCTCTCTTCCACCTGCTTCCTTTCAGGCAAGAAAGTATCAGAGGCGGGCAATTAAGTCATTTTAAACTATTTTCACTGTGGATTTTTACTGAACAAAAAAGCAATATTTATGTCCCTTAGACATTTCTGAGAAGACTTAGCTGTTCTTTTAAAAACATCGCTTCAGCGCCAATGAAAAATATAATCCAGCCTTAGTAATAAATTTTTAAAACATACACACACAAAAGTTATCAGCCTGCAAAACAATGTTTCCTTGCCTTCCCACACGTCTCAGTATTTTAACAACATCCCATCTGTTGACGTCGGCCTGAAGAAGCAGGTCTATATTCTCCAATTTTATTAAAACCCTTTCTGGCTGGTGGCCTGATTTCTACGAGGCTGGACTACGTACTTCCGGGCCCCGGGCCTGTGGCCCCGTGCCAGTTTGCATGGCTGACAGAAATGGGGATGGTTAATCAAAAATCTGTTTAGCTTGTGCTTAATAAGGAATGTTTTCTCTTGCTCTTGGTACTAATTGCTGAAGATGTCTGTGTTTGGATTAAAACTTTGTCCCCTGCCATCTGGATGTCATTGATATGTCTCAGCTCAGTCGTGAGCCTGGTGATATCAGTGGTTTCCATGTCAACAGATGACAGCGTCATATGTTGAAACGTGTGATTGCAGTGTGCAGCCAAAGAGCCAGCCTTGGGAAAGAGGTAGCTCCGGTTTCACAACTAAACATCTTCACTGATTTCCAGACATTGCTTTGAAATTATTTCCATTTTGTGCCAATTGCATTTACATGTAAAATTGCAGTGTACACATTTTGGGCCATTTGGGAAAGGAAACAATGGACTTGTTGATACCTATAGTTCCAATCGGTGGGAAAGACAGTTTCTCAAAGAGGCCTTTTTAAATCTCCAGCTGTTGGGAAATCTGTTCATTCTCTGAATCCAAGGAATGTACCATATCTGTTAAATGGAAGTCTCAGGTAGAGTGTGGAAGTCTGCATGTGAGGCAGCAATGGCACATATTTATCTATTCAAAGGGAACCCTGGGCCTCAAAGTCTTGCTAATGCAGCCTGTCTAAATATAGCCTCAGCAACAGCAGTCAAGAGGCAGCACTGAAATAATTAAGGAAAAAAAAAAAACGCCCCTCAACTTCGAGCTCTGGCCTACAGTGTCAAGTACAGGATTAATAAGAGATGAATTTTAATCACTTTTCTAAGAGTTCTATAATTTTGATTAAGAGAATAGATCACTGCAGAATCATTTCCTTATGAGGTAGACCACAGCAGCAAACACAAAACATGTATTCTCTGAACCTAGGAAAATGAAGCTGATAGCAGCCGCTTTATTTATTTTCCCTTAGATCAAGAATGCTGCAGCCAACGTCCTTCGGGAAACGTGGCTAATCTATAAACACACAAAGCTGCTAAAGAAGATTGACCACGCCAAAGTCAGGAAACACCAGAGGAAGTTCCTCCAAGCTATCCACCAGTGAGTATGCCAGAGCGCTTCAGCCGTCAGACGACCAGATTAGGGGTGGGGGTACCCCTCGGCTCTGCCAGGATCTTCTCATGTGGTTAGGAGGCACAGAAGAAACCCATTCTGTTCCACTGAACTGGGCCCAAATCAGTCTGTTCATTCACTTTTCTGCACCTGTCTCATGGCAGGCATTGGGCTATGGAAGGTAAAAATTAGAGAAAGAGCCTCTAGGGCAGAGGTCCTCAAACTTTTTAAACAGGGGGCCAGTTCACTGTCCCTCAGACCGTTGGAGGGCCGTTGGAGAGTGCAGTGCACATTCCACACATGCGCACTATGGGCCCAGGACAAGTCGGCTGCTAAGCAGGACAGGCAGCAGTGGCAAAAACACCCAGTGGGCAGGGTAAATGTCCTCGGCAGGCCACATGTGGCCTGTGGGCCTTAGTTTGAGGACGCCTGCTCTAGGGGCTCTCACATTCTGCGTGTGCACACACACACACACACGTGCGCGCGCACCCCATGCATTGCAACTCAAAACAAACTGTGGCTACTGCTTTTTATGATGGAGGAATTTTTTTAAGAGAAAGCATGGTGGAAAAGCAAAGGATGAAAACATTTATTCTGACCTGGAGGTTTGGGAAAACCCTACAAAGTGGAGACTATGGTATTCCAGGTGGAAGGCACAGCCTAGGAAAAGGCGTAGAAACAGGGAAAAGATCTGGGAATGGCAAGGGGACTAAAGTGACTGCAGGTGAGCGTTCACAGAGACAAGAGTTTGCTCTCCTGCCAGCCCCTTATTCTAGTCGTTGCCCATATTCAAGGTCCCCATGCTGGGTTCCAAATCAGAGGAATCCATCGGGCTGTGGAATCTGCCAGCTGGGCTAACTCTTAGCGTGGACTTGAAGGGCTTGCCTGTCACAACTCTCCCCCACAGACTGAGGCGTGTCAAGATGGAGCAGAGGAAGCTGAGTGACCAAGCCAACACCCTGGTGGACCTTTCCAAGGTGAGTGGCAGAATCCAAAGACATCCTGAAGGGTTCACAGGTGCTGGCACGTAGACTCCTCCGGCATACCTGTGAGACCTGGCTATGTTCACACTGGACAGTACAGGGCTAGGAAAGCAAAGAACAATTTCTCCTTGGTTAAAAAACAACCTAGGTTCAAATTTTTGACATTCACAATCTATCAACGTGTCTTGTTGTCTTTTAAAAACCTGCCATTTTTTTCTTAAGTTAAACAGCTCAGGTTTGTCTTTGCTTGGAATTAATTAGCTGACCTACTTAAACCTGCAAGTGTGTTGTTTTACTAGCTGTGCGTTGAGGAGCCCCTAGGGACGAGCTGGGGTTTGCACAGGGGTGAAGCACATTAGCGAGGACCCAACAGTGGTGACGGCCGTGCTGACCGGCCAGGTCACACCTGAGAAGATACTTCCAGTTTGCAGTTGTAATTGGAAATCCATTTCACTGAATCCTGTAGTTCTTGCCATCCAGTTTTTCTGGCCCCAAATTGATGTGTGTAGGGGTGCATTTCTTTATTTCTCAAGAGGCAGGTAGCCTATAATGAACGTGAAGACACCCCAAAGACAGCCCTCCTTTGAGAACCCTGGGCTTGAGGCTTGACTTCGCGCTGTCAGTCTGTGTTTCTGCACTGAGCTGCCACAAGTGCTATAAAGAAACTTACTCCTCTTGCACATCACCCAAGTGAGGGAACCAAAGGCCACACTGTTGGCAGAGCTGAGAGTAGGCGCCCCTGAAGAAAGGGTTTTCCCCTCCGCAGCCCCCTCTTCCCATCGCCTCTTGATAGAAATTACATATCAAGCGTACAGCCAGGGCCAGGCTGACAGAACATTCCAGCCAATGTCAATTATCATAATGGAAAACGTTCTCTGGGTAAGCAAGAGAAACTCCCTCAGGCAGATTAAGCGCCCTTTGAAAAGAGGGTGCAATCAGAGAAATTACTGGTTGTGGGGCCACATACCGACACCCTGCTCAATATAGGGATCAAGCCAAAGAAAGGGCCTCCCAAGCCCGCGAGGACCGCAGTCAGGGAATAATTGGCGTGGCACAGTGAGGAGGAAGCCCATGGGCCCGTGTGCTGTGGAGGAGGTGTTCAGGTGGCGGCAGGGCTCCTGGGGCCTGGGCGTGGACAGGACGTGAATGGAACATGAGCACACAGGAGGGAGCTCCTGGGCCTCCGGTGTGTTGGTTAATACTCTTGGGTTCCAATATCAGAAACCCACAGGACAAAGGTTTACAAATGGAGGAATTTATTGTAAGGATCTTAGGGAGTCTCACTCTAGGCAAACCTCAAAGCAGGCATGTGGCCGGACGCCAGGAAGGAACTGACTAGGTAGAACCAGGCCTGGGAGCCCTCCTGACCTGGGGTGTTCTCTCACCGTCTCTTCTTCTCCAGCTGTTCAAGGGCCTGCTTCCATCCTCTCCTTCCTTCCTCCCTCTCTTTCTTGCTCCCTCTCCCCCCAACCACATGCCTCCTGTCTCCATGGCAGACTTTGGCAGGCCTCAATCCTGAGAGTATGTGTATAGTTTTAGCCACAGCGAATTGGCCTCATGTTGGCCTTGATTCCAAATTCTCAGAAGAGATGATTGGCCAGGGTGGGCCGTGCGTCCACCCATGATCCAATCAGCTGTGGCCAGGAAGAGGGTCAAATAGAGCACACGTGGCCAGGGGCCCACCCCGTAAGCCTCAGAACTGGCCCAACGAGATGCCCCCAGATGTGTCTCCTATGAGTAGCAATGTTTCCTGTCTCACCTCTTATCCGGCAGGACACATTGTGACTGATGTTCCCTGGGGACATCAGCAAACCTGACTTTCAAGGCTGCGTTTCAGCAGTGCCACCCAGAGCCTGCCAGAGAGATGGGGCCAGGCAGAGCAGACTGGGTGCAGCAGACACGGCAGTTTGGAAAGACGCTCTTGTGAATGGGGTTGGGGAGCTAAGCCATAAATCACCTGGGAGTGAGTTACCTGGAAAGAAAGAGTGTGCAGGAGAGACAGTAAGGAAAGGTCCTACAGAGCCCAGTGGGGGACATGGCGTGAGATCTGGGGAGGAGGTGAGCTCTGCCATTCATCCAGTCTTTGTCTTTCCTCCCAGGAGACTCCTGGCAGCAGCTCAGTGTACTTCACATTGGTCCACGTCCCCCTGGCATCCTGTCACCAAGCAACAGGGGAGACAATAATGCCGTGTTCCCTCCCTTTTCTTTCTCTGTGCTTCGCCCTCCTAGCCCACAACCCTCCCACCCCTGCCCTTTGGTCTTCTCTAGATTAAGAATATGGCACGTGGCCTCCTGATATTATTTTCTGTGTTTAATAGCCATCTTATGAGGTAACAGCTGGGGATGCTTGGTCTCTTTTCTCGAGTGCTTCAATTTCTTCAATTGAAATGTAAAAATAATAGCCTGGCGCAGTGGCTCACGCCTATAATCCTAGCACTCTGGGAGACTGAGGCTGAAGGATCGCTCAAGGTCAGGAGTTCAAAACCAGCCTGAGCAAGAGCGAGACCCCCATCTCTACTAAAAATAGAAAGAAATTAATTGGCCAACTAAAATATATACATATATATATAGAAAAAAATTAGTGGGGCATGGTGGTACGTGCCTGTAGTCCCAGCTACTCAGGAGGCTGAGGCAGAAGGGTCACTTGAGCCCAGGACTTTGAGGTTGCTGTGAGCTAGGCTGACACCACGGCACTTTAGCCCAGGCAACACAATGAGACTCTGGCTCAAAAAAAAAAAAAAAAGAAAGAAATGTAAAAATAATTCCTACCATCTGAGGCTCAGGTGATCAAATAAGATGATATCTGCAAAAATGCTTTGTAAACTGTAAAGGTTTTACAAGTGGTAGTTCTGATTATGAATATAGATGAGGAAACCAAGATCCAAGGGAACAAAAGGACCATCCCAAGGCCGGGCAGTTGGGGAGCACCAGCCCTGGGCCACAACGCGGGGGCTGGACATGGGTGCAGAGCTCATCAGGGTGGCCCTGCAGGCAAATAGACCCGTGATGTTGTACATTCCGGGAAGAACGTGTGCCTTGAGGAGGTGCTGTGTTAAGGAAGGAAGCACTTTTCCTTCTAAAGTGTCCTCTCTGAGGGCAGCTGTGACACAGACGGGCCTTCTGCCACCCCCACGCCTCCCCCACAGGCTGCCCCAGTGCGTTTCCTTGTGGGTGTGGAGTCCCTGGGGAGGTGTCACTACACTTTCAGTCCCCCCTCCCCTCCTCTCCTCTCTGGCTCCTCAAATTTTGCCACCTTCTTCTACTCCTCTTTTTTTTCTCTCACCTGATTTCCTGCTCCTTTGGCCCCTGAGGCACAAGTGGTTTCCATGGCTTCCTGGAGTAACTTGAAATTTCAGGTGAAATAGGATCAGGGTGTCACTGGCAGATGACCAGAAGCCCAAAGAGCCACAGTATCTCAGGGGGTGACCCAGCAACCACCAGCCTGGCCCCGTGCCGTCCATTCCCGAACACCTGGGAGGGGGAAGCCTCCCGTGAATCTCTCACCGGAGTCTGAGGTACAGAGCCAGGGAAGCATTTGTTAATTTGCTGGGAGGAGTGTGGCTGTCACTTAGACCAGGACGCTGCAGACCAGCAGGGGACCGCGGGATGTGGGGGAGGAGCCCTGTGAGGCGGGGCTGAGTGCAGGAGGGGGACTGGGGAGCCCCCGCAGGACACCTGCCGGGAGTGAGGGGACCAGGACGGGTCAGAGGGAGAGTATGAACGGTGGGTGTCAGCAAAGAGCTCAGCTGGGTGGAACAGCACTTCCGGGACGTCCCAAAGGGAGGCGCTGTGGACCAGGCAGGGGAAGGGCCGCACCTCGGCGAGGCAGCTCCCTTTGTTAATGACATGTCACATTCTGGCTGCTGTGAGGAATGGGAGGTGGGGGATGCCCCATAACTCATAACTATGTGTCGTTATTATTAACTCCAATTTTATAAAGAAACCGAGGTGGCCTGACAGAGGGCACATTGTTAGTGAGCTGCATGCTTGTACTTGAACCCTGGCCTACTAATTATAAATCTAGTATGACTCTATTGCACTGTCCATTCTCCATGGTGTCTTCTCTTGAATTATTAGATGCCAGTAGCCATGTGAGTTGAGAGGTGGGGTCCCTGTAAGAACGTGAAGACAGTTTAGAGACTCACTCTATTTAAGAAAAAAGGGCCATTTCTTTCCCTTTATACATATTTTCTAATAAAGTGTTATAATTTAAAACTCGTCAGTTTTGTAATAAGAAAAAAATGTGCCACTCCTGCCCCCCCCCCATCTCCGGGAAAGTGAACTGTTTCGTTTCCTCGGCCAGATCAGACATGGCTGGTGTGGAGGGCGCTCCCGTTGAGAAGTGGAGGGTGTTCCATCCTCCTGGTGCAGATACCGGCGTGATGGCCTGCTGTCTCCCTGTCGCTCAGCGCTCTCTCTCTCCACGCAGATGCAGAATGTCATGTACGACTTAATCACAGAACTCAACGATCGGAGTGAGGACCTGGAGAAGCAGATTGGCAGCCTGGAGTCCAAGCTGGAGCATCTCACCGCCAGCTTCAACTCCCTGCCGCTGCTCATCGCGGACACCCTGCGCCAGCAGCAGCAGCAGCTCCTGTCCGCCATCCTCGAGGCCCGGGGCGTCAGCGTGGCGGTGGGCACCACCCACACCCCGCTCTCCGATAGCCCGATTGGGGTCAGCTCCACCTCCTTCCCGACCCCATACACAAGTTCGAGCAGTTGCTAAATAAAACTCCCCACTCCAGAAGCGTTACCCATAGGTCTTAAGATGCAAATCAACTCTCCTGGTCGCTTTGCCATCGAGAAACTCTCAGACCAGGGAACAGAAAGAAGAGAGACCGAGCTAATTAACTAACTCATGTTCATTCAGCGTGCTTGGTTCGATATGCCTTGAAACCAGAAATCTAATCTCTGTTTAGGTGCCTCTACTTGGGAGCGGGAAGAGGAGATGACAGGAAGCGACGCCTCTGGCAGGGCCCTTGCTGCAGAGTTGGTGGAGAACAGAAATCCACGCTCAATCTCAGGTCTTCACGTGGGGGGCTGGGGGGCAGGTGCACTGAAGCAGCCAACAGTGAAGCCAGCCCGGCCGCGGGGCCTGTGGGGATGGGGCCGTGCCAGGCTTGGGGGATGGGTCCCTCACCACTGGGGTCCTTGAGCACACCTCTCTCCTTTCCTTTTGTCTAAGGATGGCCTCTGGATGACAAAAGTAAAAGAGAGCTGCCCACAACTTGCCAAAACGGACATACCCAATTTAGACTGAAAAAAAAAAAAACAACAACAACAAAAACCCCACAGACAAATAAAAAGCCAGATTTTTCATCCAATATTAATACCCATATAAACCTGTGTGTTTGCAAGCACGTGCGTGTACACACGTGCACGTCCCACGTTCAATCCAGCTCCTTTCTTGTTTGAGCTTAGCCCAAATAAAAAGGGGCCTGGTACCTCACTCTGCACACAGTAGGCACCCTCTAAATGTGTCAGGTTGGTTTGAATCTGAATGTAGGATGCTTTCAGTTCAGGTAATTGCTATTGGCCACATCCTGAGCTTCACTGAAGACGCAGGTCCCTTCAAACACATGCAGGTTCCTTTGTCCCGGGTGTGCACCATGCTTGATTTCAGATGGATGCTGGGCCAAAATTATTGGCATTCCGGAGGGGTAAGCAGGCTTCTAAAAACAACAACAACAAAACAGCTTCTGCAGAGTTTTCTTCTTACATCCAAACAAGCTGTGTTTCCATGGACCAAATGACCAGGTGTATGTATTGGGGGGAGGGGACAGGGGATCATGCAGGTGTATGCACATGTACAAACAAGGGCAACCCAATAACACCTTAGTGAATAGAAATATGGTTTGGGGATTTGCTGAGCTGTATTTAGGCAGCAACAGGTTTCTAGCCCCAGATGTTAGGAGTACAGAAGGTTCAATGTCCTCACCTGCGAGCTGCTGAGCTGGTAGGAGGAGTGATGGAGAGTGGCCTACATGGTCCCTTATATCTGAAGTCACCTCAAAATAAAATATTGTAAGAATAAAGGGAGCCCTTAGGGAGCCATGTAGGTAAGGTAAGAGGACATAGATTTTTCAGTAGCCTATTCCTACTGTACCATGTTAATCTTGGTGCAAAAACTATTCTAATACATTTCAAACTCCAAGAGACTTCAGAAACATCAAGGTCCAGTGTAGTGACAGGTACTGAAAAATTTCTTCATTGCTCCATAATCTGACCACACGTAACATTTGTGATGTGCAAACCATCATGTTGTTCATCATTTTTTCTTATTTTGAGGTCTTTGATTTTTGCTTGTGGGAAATTAAATGATACTGTATGGAATATTTCATCTGTTTAAGATAAAAGAAAAGGGTTTTGCATATGGTTGTCATTTTGGACTTAGCTTTGTCAAAAAGACATTATCTCCCTTCTGAAGGTGGGAGCTTGCTGTGGAGATTTTTCTTCTGCAGCACTGAGTCTTGTCTTTTAAGGATAATGGAATCGCTGGACAGCAAAAAGTAGACAATCTAGAATGAAGGCCACTCTTTTGAGAAGATCTGGTCTCTTGCTAAACCTCTTCTTTTTGTCTCTTGCTATTGCTGCTGTTCCTTTAATGCTCTGTCTTCTTAATGGTTTGTCTTGATAACTCCTCTGAGCATTTTCATTAGTTGTTTTGCATACCAGAGATGCCACACCTGCTGTTGGCTTTTTATTTTTTTACTTGCTCTTTTAACTACTGATTTTCTGAAAGATCCCTCCCCCCATTTTTTTTTTAATGTCCCAAGAATGGTGCTCCTGTTTTCAGTGACAGTTCAGCTGAACATGTAAGCAAATGTATAAAAGGATGAAATAACCATGCAGTTTCTTTGTGGCATTAGTTCCATTGCACAAAGTGGAGACCACTGATGGGTCAACCTAAGTGTGCCAATCCTGATCATTTAACCTACTGCCCTCAACTGTTAATTCTGATTCACCCCTTTCATTCTGCTGTAACCCTGGGATGCGTGTGTGTGGGCGTGGGTGAGTGCACATATGGGGATTTAGTCTCAATTTCAAATAAATGACATGCAAGATTCCACTACCACTCCTCCTGCCCAAAAGTGTGCACAGACTCCAACTTATCCATTGAGGTCTGTGAGTAAGTCTCCTTTAACCCATCATTGATGCTCTTACTTAGCTAAACCCCAAAGGCCAAGCTAGCAACACTAGTCAAGGGGGTGGTTGGAATTATTTCCAGTAGCAGTAGCTGCTGGTTATCCTAGAAACACACAGCATGACTTGACCTATTGGTAGTGCAATAGCTATAGGTGGTTTTTATCCTTGGCAAAAGAATACTTATTCCCCCCCCCCAAATAAGTGATCTAATCTGCATGTTGATCCCACAATGGCAAATGGAAGGTTACTTCTCTGTACTAGTATTTCAGTTTTATGTGGGAAAGTTACCCATTTTCCTGCAAGTACAATCAACCCTTGATGACTTAGGTATTGATTATCTTGGGTGTAGCTCACCCACATTTTCTTCCTACATCTTTTGGTTAATTCCACTGCACCTCAGCATCACAGTCAGATGGGAAAAGGGGTCAGGTGGATTCCCCTGCCATGCCTTCTTGTACCTAATTTTCAAGTTTGGTAGTGGAGGAGGTTTAATTATCTACTCAAGAATTGGCTGTATGTAAAAATTATTAATTATGGTAACCTCACTCCAATACTGAACTAATTGAGTTATGCCCACTCCTGGAAGGCTGACCCCATGGCAGAGCCCCTACTATAATATTTCTGATAACTTAGTGACAGGTAGAAGCACTCTAATATTCCCTAAAATATCTAGACACTTGAATTAGAAACACAGAGCCACCCCCTCAAGCACTCAAGCCATATCATAGCTTCAAGTACTGTAAAGTCAGGGATGTACTGTGATACTTTAAGACCACTAATCTCAGTGGAATTTCAGGACATAGCATCAGTTGGGAAATTATACCAAACTAGGGGCTCACTCCTCCTTAGATTGAAGTCCAAATAAAAATCTGCACCTTGGGATCAAAGGCCACATATGTGTGATCATCATCAACAAATTGCCATAAAGTGTCTATGAACGCTCTTGCCATATTCATAATATGTACTTCATGATGTCATATCTCTAAAAATGCTTATACAATCCAAAATAACAAAAGGGGGAGTTCCTGATTCACCACTGATGATGGTCTGACCTCAGTGAGCACCAGTGGTCTAACAGCAATCTTGTAAATTAGGAGATGTAGAAAACGGATGTGAAAGTAAATTCTAAAGTGTTGAGCATGTGCAAGCTATTGTTATTCTTAAAGGCCAAGAGGGAACAGCATTGAAGAAAAATTATTTTACTATATTGGGGGATTTCCCCTTAAATTTTCAGTAATTTTCTTGTGAATAAACAATCATGGAAAAGAAGAAAACTAGTGATACAAAATCAGAATAAACAAAAATTAAAACTGGATCCATATCTTTGGCCGACTACCTTATAACTCAGTTTCTCTGTACTTAAAAGTTAAGATAATAGTTAATATTCTTTTTTTGTTTTGTTTTGTTTTTGAGACAGAGTCTCACTTTGTTGCCCGGGCTAGAGTGAGTGCTGTGGCGTCAGCCTAGCTCACAGCAACCTCTATCTCCTGGGCTCAAGCGATCCTACTGCCTCAGCCTCCCGAGTAGCTGGGACTAAAGGCATGCGCCACCATGCCCAGCTAATTTTTTCTATATATATTAGTTGGCCAATTAATTTCTTTCTATTTCTAGTAGAGACGGGGTCTCGCCCTTGCTCAGGCTGGTTTTGAACTCCTGACCTCGAGCAATCCGCCCGCCTCGGCCTCCCAGAGTGCTAGGATTACAGGCGTCAGCCACCGCGCCTGGCCAATAGTTAATATTCTTAAGTACAAAGTCTTTAATAGAGAAAAAAAGGAAATCACTATTGTCATCAGCAGCAGCCCAGACTGACTCTATCTAGTCTACACTTTGAGGTTGCACTTGAATGCAGTCAATAGTTACCAAAAAGTAATTGTTACATATCAAATTGGTAGTGAAATCAGAAGGGAGAAATATGGGATTAGCACATAGTTCCAGAACCTTCCTCCTCCTCCAGAGTGTAACTCGGCAAACTGCACCCCAAATTAAGAATCAGTATTTCATCCCAGAACAAATGGTGTTGCTACTGTCACAGTACCACATCTGAGATACTGTGAGGTCATTGCACTACCAGTAGGTTATTATTTTTAAGTGACTACTTCTGAATGCTAAAATATGTGCCCAGTTTTATATGGTCATTCTACTTCCCTGAACATTTCTAGAAGCAAATTAAGGATCCGTTAGTTGTCATTTTGCTATCCTATTGACTCTGCAGTGTTTGATTTCAGCACCTTAGACAGCTATCTGGTGGCTTCCTGGTAGCGTGGAACAGCCCCTTCTCTCCCCCTGCAGTCTCTGGGCTTGATGACGCCCTGGACAGTCTCCCTTCCTTCTCTACTGCCACCAAAGCAAACGTAACAGGAGTGGGATCAGTGATACCAATATTACAGGGATAGCAATATTAACTGTCTAACTGTGGTAGTAGGAAGCTTGTGCCAGGCTGCATGAATAGAAATTAACAGTAAACTCTTGTCAGACAAGTAATATATAGATTTTTTTTTTTATTGAAACAGACCACAGCTTCTTAAAAAATACTTAGTGCAATGGTATATAAGTGTATACAGATAGAAAAAAAAAATAACTGTGATCATTTTGTTTTACACCATTACTGGAAACACCCAAACATGAACTGGAGTTCCCTCTGAACAAAACCATTGTCAAATCTTCAACATATGACCTCCAAATCTAGGTGCCAAGTGCCCTGCGACAGTTGTTTACACGCCTGAGAAAGGTATTCTGGAAGCTGTAATCTTGGGCTATGTGTTGGACTATATGTTGAAACAAACAAAAGAGACGTCATGACCAACCAAGCTGGTGGAGGAAAAGCACAAAATTCAACACCAACCTGCAGTTAGGATCCCAAAGAGATGTTGACACTTACAGCCAAAAAAACAACAACAGCAAAAAAGCCCCAACAAATATGAATCTGATGGGAACAGCCAACGTCCAGCCTCACAGAAGGAGGACAGGGAATAAACAACATTCTCTCCCTGTGTCATATGTCTCAGTGTTTGAATCTCAACCAGGAATGATCCACCTTCATCAGACACATTTTTTAATGGCGCAACAAATCAATTTTGGTCCCAGACTCTTCATTCTGCACTGGCCACAAGAGAACAACAAAAGAGAGCGACAGGATATTTAATGGAGGAAACATTTTCATGGCAAACTCAGAAACTGAAGTGTTTATTATATTCAGAATCAGACAAGCTTCAATATGAATTTGCATCTTGCCTCTGTACTGCTTGCTATTTTTTAACGATAGGAGAAAGCATAACAGTTTATTTTAAATATGAAATATATTGCTATATTATAAAATATATTGTAACTTTCAATTAACATTTTGTATCAAACTAGTGTTTAGCAGGTCTACTGACAGCCTGCTCTCCCAACAACTGTTTCTGAGTACACATCACTGTTAGTGATTGCCTGACACCCAGACCAAGGGTCTTCGCACTACAGCCTACTGAACTGCCATATTCTAATTCTCCACCACTGAGTATTAGAGACAAAAGAACATTATTCCAAGCTTACAAGAATAATTCTGCCCTAAATTCTATCAAGCCATTTCAGAAGAGATTTTAAAAGCCATCACTCCTTTAGTAGCTGTGCAAAGCCAGTTTAATAAAAGTGCAGGCTCTTGCTGTATAAATCCAAAGGCCCGTTCCATAAATTATATACATCTCACATTCAGCCAGCCAGTTTTCCTTTGGCAATGTCAGAACTGGGCATAAGGAAGAGTCCTGTTTTCCTGTGACTCAAAATACTCAAAATTCTAGGCATTACGGGTTTCTCTGTGTAAGTAAAACTGGGACTGGAGTTCCATCTACACAGGGCCCTAAGAAAGCCCAATGTGCAGATGTGCTTTTCTGAGTTGGCAATACCCTGGCAGGAACACGGTTTCCATATGTTTATCAGCACCATGGGGCCCAGCTCCTAAGGGAATGATGGGAGGAGGAGCAGGACATGCATAGCCAAGAGCCGGGCTGCCTTTTCTGCTAGTTTCCTCTAGCTGGGAGGAAATAAGGAGTTTCAACTGAGATGTTGTTCTTTACTGCAAAATCAAACAGCTCAAAATCCACTGCCGTCCTTCTCTCTATAGCGGCCAAGATACACACACATGTAGGATTTCTCGGTCTCCTCCTTTGAATGACCAAGGCGCTATTTCTAGATGAAATCAGTATGTATTTGGCTACAGAGCAAAGGTTTCCTAGAATCAGTGAGCCTCCTGTGTGTGAGGACCCTCACTGGCATCACTTTGGTGCAATATTGCACAGGTCCAAACCAAGTCGCGTCAGGGTAGACTTAACTGAGCCTCTTCCCTTCACAAACTCTGAAAATTCCCATAGATTTACAGATAGCATAAAACAACAGGTTTTCTCCTGGGGAAAAAGGTAGAATGCTCTCAAATTTAAATTTATTTGGGCTTAAATAATGTAGCTAAGGCTTGGGCCTTAATGGTATTAGTTACTCATGCCATCTGAAAGAGAATATCTAAACGCCCAGCTTCAATCTGCTTCTGCAGCTGACCCCTAATTTGTACGCAAGTTTTATTTTTAAAGAGGGTAAATTCTCTCAGTGTCTGTGTTACCCCTCAGTTACATGGTAAGCTGAGCGCCATTAAAGACATCAGAACTCCGGGGCACCTGTTTTTAGCAGGTGTTTTACTCACTGGATAATGGAAATTAGCTTATCCTTAGTTTT